AGGTGATAATAAAAGAGTTACGAAAGTGAAATGGCATTCAACTTTACGAACTAAAGTTATGGCCACCTGCAGCGCAAGGTTGACCCTTGCGATTTGATTTGCCATTATCAACTCCATCGTTTCATTTACTTTGGTTATTTTATAATAATATTTGTTGAGGTTCTGCCATCACTTATTACCTCCTATTGTTCTTCTTGACTGAGATTTGGTAAAACAGCTGACTTCATAATCATGGTGTATTGGTGTCAGACTTGATTCTACCTATGCTATAGGCGACTGACATAGCTGGAAGGGACCTACGGCCTACCACCTTTCGATTTAAAAAAAATAAAGAAAAGTTTTTTATTTCGTCTACAATCTAAATCAAATCAAAAAAGTTTTAATACACAAAGAAACTACTGGGTATTTCTTCAATCTTCCTTTACCAAAACCAAACGGTTCAATACTTCAAACTGGTTTGTAGTTTTTTTTTTTGTAAAAAAAAACAGCGGTCACGAGTCCCTTACAAAGTTCGTTTGACCGCCCGTGCGTAAAATGACATAAATGAAAAACGTGTTTTTTTCTTTTTATCAATTTGTCGTACATAATTCTAGCTTCAATTTTTTTATTATTATAGCACTGGCAAGGTAGCGTATTTTTAAAGATCGCTGTCAGTTTCTATGAAACGTCGGATGTTAGATTAAATAAAAATATGCATTAATTTATACTCCTTAAGGTCACTTTTGATTAGTCTACAAAAATAATAGCGTGTCCGGTACATATCTGTGCTGAGATTCGATGTCAAATACATTAAAATAAATTAATTAATACCTACTACATAAATGGTTCAGGATTAAAAGGCTTACTGATTGATTGAAAATATCGGTACTACTGACTGCAGATATTAATTAACTGACTGAATAATTAGTCAGTCACTTATTAATATTTTTAATAGATGACTAAATTGGAATAAAGCAAAATGATATTTTATTTCAATCTGCATATCGCCAACGTCCATACCACGTTGAAAACACCGGTTCTCGTCCGATCACCGAAGTTAAGCAACGTCGGGCGCGGTCAGTACTTGGATGGGTGACCGCCTGGGAACACCGCGTGATGTTGGCTTTTTGCTATGTTTGCATAACAGATCTATAAATAATTTTAAGATGCTAAAAAGTTTTCATCTAGAAAGCTAGAATTTTTTGGGTCACTTTCCCATTGCTAGTTAATGGCTCAAAATTCACGCTTTCGTGTCAAAAAATGCGCGTGTGGGTTTAATAAAATCTAATTGCTAACAATGAGATGCCTTCCTACGCTGAGGCTGAGCAAATGAGCACATAACCTACCCTCAAGGTCGAGCAAGCATGCGTAATGCTTCGCTATTTCGTTTGTAGGTGACACTTGTGTTGTAACCTGGCATATTGATTGTTTTGCCTTTATAGCTTTAATTTGGGTCGCCCTTTGTATTGTAGGTTGAGTTATTCATATTAATCTCATGTCTAGATGGCAAAGAGCGTAAGATTTTTTGATTTTATGGCAACATGTAAGACGTTTTTTGAGACTGGAAATTTTGGAATGCCAAATTACGAAAATGAAATAGCATTTACATTGTCTATACCAATACGTACCCCAATAAGATTTAAATAATTCGCAAAACGTATCAATTTAACCTGCAATCTGACTTAAACCGCGGAAAGGCATAGACAAATTAGACAACTAGTTTTGTCGGCAGCTGTATTGGTTATGGTTGTTTATATCAATGCCAACACACAATTAAACCAATCTCAACTATTACGTAAACCAAATTAATGATAACAAGTGTTCAAAATAATGGCCCAACTCAAACTTCAACTATATTTGCATATCGTGCTATATTGAAAGAAAGTGGGTTGCTAATACATAATTTATGAATTTTAAGTACACAATTACTAAGTTAATGTTACTTAGACCATAAATAAGCAATTAAATGTTTCTATTATGCATGTGAATGACCTAATTTTAGGTAAAACATTAATTGACGCATAAAATATTGTTCATACAAAATCATTATTTGTGGAAAATAATTACAATGTTACATTTTCGCTAGTTAATGAGTCAAGTTGTGCGTAAACGCGTTCAAAATAAAAGGTTAATTAGTTTTTTTACAACCGGTTTAACCCGTACATACAACATAATAACATAAAAGTTGCAATTAAGTGAATATCATAATCAGCTACTTTACAATTTTATTACATAACGTTTGTGAAGGCATTCTGGTATTTAATACACAATTTTGCAATCCAATCAGTGATTAAATGTATGAAAATGGATAGTTTTAGAATTTAGCTACATTCGATGTATTTTTGAACTCACAGTTAGACATTACATTAACCTGCTAAATACCTGTACATATTTGTTTCCCATTCCACACCAAGACAAATTATAAATAAAAACCCATCAATAGCTACAAACATTTCAGATAATGGATGGATGAACATTTCAGTTAATAATGGAAAAGCGACAAAGTTACTAGTTAGTTGTTTTTACACCAATTTCACTCATTACTATCAAGTTTTTGTCTATAGATTGGGTCATTAACTCACAAAGAGGCGTACCGCAAAATCATTTCTCAAGGCTTCAAAATTTAATTGAAGAAAAAACATCGAAACTAGTTTGTGTGGAGAAACGTGATTTTACCAAAAACGAAACCCGGCGGGCGGTCTCCACAATAGCTACGTATCTCTGTAGAAACTTAAGAAAGCCGGTTTTATCACTTTTCGTCTGATACGTGAAATATGCTCAGAAAGTGGAAAAATATAAAGAATAAACGCATTAATTTAAATTTTGAGGTTATCCACTTATTCTTGGGAGAGTGACATAAGTAATTTATAATGAGAAGGAATTTTTAAATCCAATCAATGTTGTAGTTAAACATAATTATGTAGATACTTACTACAAAATATTTTGGATTGATAATAAATGCAAGAAATAAAATATTGACCCATATTGTAATATGTTTAATCTAACTGTAAACTAAAATACATGGCTATTTTAAAAATAATTCAACCAATACTACGTTGGTATTGTATAGCGTTGATAAAGACCTCGACATCGAGCAGTTATTATCACACGAACACCTAAGAATGCAGTGTTAAACACTGATTCACGAAAACTGCTCTTGTTCAGGGTTCACACTTGCTATTATTAGATAAGTCACTTTTTTCTGTACTATTTTTGTAGGCTGAAGGGAAAGTGATTCTTAAATTCAGACTCGCACTTGCCAACGTCCATACCACGTTGAAAACACCGGTTCTCGTCCGATCACCGAAGTTAAGCAACGTCGGGCGCGGTCAGTACTTGGATGGGTGACCGCCTGGGAACACCGCGTGATGTTGGCTTTTTGCTATTTCAACCAAAATGCATTTAAACTTGGATAGAAATTGGAACCCTTTTCATAGTTGGCTTACATTATGGCAGTATTGTTTTCATTTTTGTTTAATTTTTTAAACGAACTGCGAAGTCCGATACCAAAATTTTTAAAACAGAGACGCTTGTTTACATTAGCAGTCATTTTTAAAAACAACACAATAACTGTGTATTGTATTTCTAACTCGTATTTAAGAACTAGATCTTTTTTTAACAGTGATAATAACACAAATAAAAAAGCCTAGTCTATACAACCCTAGCCTAAAATCTGTGTTGTCTGTGGTCTGCACTTATGTCACGCACCGTCCAATGCCGCGTTCAAATCGTGCGCAGTTACGCAAATATGCGCATATTTGCTGCTTCTATGATCTAGAACCACTGTGTCATCAATACGTGTCTTTGGTCTATGTCTATTATCTTCAATTTAACTTTATGACATTGAGATGCAGTTCATCATCACGATTTGAAATTAAATCTTAGATTACGTTAGTCACAAAATTCTAGCAATATTATAAATGCGAAAGTTTGTATGGATGTTAAATGTTTGTTACTCTTTCACGCAAAAACTACTGAACTGAATTTGATGAAACTTTACAGTATTATTGGTTATACATCAGAATAACATATTACATCTTATACTTTACAATGATCTATGACAAATTGAGTTCACGCGTGCGAAGCCGTGGGTACATAATACATATTTATAATTACATATTATATTAAAAATAATAAATAAAGGATGTATAAATAATTTTACAACAGCAATAATCTTTTGATTTAAAGTTAATTATCAGATCAGTTCAAATTATTGGAGAAAGTTCTAAGTGTATTATTTTTACACTTCTCGTTACGAAGTACGAGTATTAATTCGTGTTTTTTTATATGAGTACTTATATTTATATCAAACTCATTTTTAAATACTTAAGTATAAAAAAATACTTGAGAAACAGGGATTTTGTAAAATATTGCCTTAAAAAAATAGGACTAAAAAATATGAAGCCCGCACAGTTTTACACTTTTTTAGTGTATTTTTTCGACATGTTTACTAATTACAGAGCGTGATTTAGTTAGAGTCTGAGATCCCTCTACAGGACGAATTGATAACTATTTCTACGCGCACAAACCTAGTATACTCTAAGTTACTAAATACTATTATTGCAGAAGACTTGAATGTATGAATGAAACGCGTGCAACATCTAAATTATGAAGACAGTTATAAAAATGTTATGTACAGTTAAAATATACAAAACACGATCTCGCCGGCCTTAAGCTGACCTTAACTTTACATAATATGCTCATTGTTTGGTTATACAGGACCGAATTACTAGCGCAAACAACGCCACAGTGAAAACTAATATTACCACACTTATGGCTTTAGAATAAGAATCGGCGTTGTCGAAATAACAAGAAAACTAAGTTGGTCAAGTATGCATTGCCAAAGTTAAACACCATCCGTTTATAAATTCGTTAAAGATGACCTAGTGATATGGTAATAGTTTTCGGTTTTGAAATATCGGTTAAATAATCGCGATAATATCAAACAATAAAATGGTAATGCAAATGGTTTTGCGGTAATCGGAAATTGTAAAAACAGAAATGTTAAATTATGAACTTACATCGCTTTGCGTTGAGCAGTGAGCAGTCCGTTTTCAGGATCACTTTCACACTGTATCCTGAAACAAAAAGAAACAGTAATTAGTGATTTCAAGTTAGTTAATTTTTCTTTAACACCTTCGCTGCCAGCCTAAAAATGGCACTGTTCCGTTCGGGCCATGGGGGACAATGATGGGCGACACTTTAACTTTCCGTTCGGGCCGCGTCGGACAATGATGACCGCGAGTCAGACCTATGTTTAAACCTCTGTATTGAGCCGATGGACAGCATTTCTTCAATAATTCTCATATAAGCTGACCCGCGCGGCTCCCAAGATTAGTGTACGTCACTTGGTTCTCAGGTAAAGCTCGGACTTAGAAAAAAAAATGTGGATAACGGTAGCGCAATGAAACATGGTAATTATACAATGCATTTTTGCAAATTTATCAACTTTTTAGCAAGATAATAACGGTTTATTAATTAAAACATATCGTTTACTTATTTGTTTCTCATTTTATACCTTATAATATTCCTATTTATGCGTAATATAATATATCAAAAACCTACCAATGTACAACTCTTTATTTTTTTGGTTGTTCTCCTTTTTTTTTTGGATGCGAGCGGGGATGGTCGACAACATGACCGCGCGGCCCTACGGAACGGATTTTCGAATTTTCGCTCGCTGGGGCCATGGGGATCAATGATGTCCGACGCTTAATAATTCGATGTAGAGACTCAAAAACAACTATATGTTAATAAAATCCTTTATTTATGTTTATAATGTAACGATTTAACAAAAAAAAACAATCGACGAAAATTGAAAAAAACTGAAATTTTTACTTGGCCTGGTAGGAAAGTGCAGTGTCGGACAACATTGACCGCGTTGGCGTTCAATGTGTTAAATCTACCAATACTAATAAATAATAAAATAAATAATAATAATAAATAATACCTATAATACTAAATTAAATTAACAATATCTTGCGATTAAAAATAATTATGAATGAGCCAGTTTCATATTGGATTAATTCTACAACCACTCAAGAGATGGCGCTTTTTTGCAATTTTGAAAAAAATTATGCCCCAAAGCTAAAAGCGTGATTTTTGTAGTTCTTATTTTTAATGTTTAGTTCTTTTTATTTCTATAATACCACCGCTGCATTGAGGTATACCGCTGCATTGGTATTTGGTATCAGAGAAATGAAGGTCAACTAGTTTATAGGGGTATTTCATTGTTCAATAAGATTTGCATACTTACGTACACGCTATACATGTCATGGCGTAACATACACCATGATTCTTTCAACATAATAAAACAAATTGCAAATTATAATCGCAAACCAGTCGAAAAGTGGTCGAAAAGCCCCTTTTTTGTATGGAGTTTTGACGGATTCGATTTTCGATTCGATCAAAAAGTGCGTTTTGTCTAGGGGGGCTGGTATTGACTTTGAAAAAATAATAATAATTTGAAAATGAAAAATAAAAAATATTGCCCCGGGTGAGGATCGAACTCACGACCTTAAGATTATGAGACTTACGCGCTGCCTACTGCGCTACCGAGGCCGGTGGGAGATTCCGCAAAATAGGTCATCATATTGAAAAAGCAACATCCCGCTTTTTCTATCAATATTTTTTTATTTCTGTCATTTTTCCGTCTTGAAACAAAGTGATTTGGCCAATGCCATAGACAAATGTTAATATTTTATGTTTTTTGCCACAACTCAATCAATCATTGATTCGGAAACAGGTGTGGATTCACTGGACATCCTTGATGGAGTATGGAGTGGTTAGCATTACGCATAGCACTTTCACTTAATTATACAGCCGCTGTGACTTGACTGGGTTAGCTTGAATGGGCGTGTGAGGAAAATTGCACATTGAAAAAACAGTAGATTCAAATTGAATAACAACAAAACAAAATATTATGTAGTAAAATTGGCACGAATAAAAATAAAAGCCGCTAGAACAATAATTTCGGACATCGGACATGGACAAAAGTTATATGTAGGTTCGAATTGAATAAGAACAAAACAGAAAAAAAAATCGGCAAGTAACGTTTTTTATTTTTCACGTTTATAAAGCATTATTAAACTTTTTTCCTGACAGCGAAATACGGACTGAGCCGCAGGCAAAAGCTAGTATTGAAATGATTGCGTCATCGTCACTTTTTACGGTTTGCAAATTGAGCGGTTATTAGTAAGGATTTTTTTGGGTGGTTAAGGCACAGACTGTGCTAAATAATATTACGTAAAACAGATATAAATAAACACTTAAAAACTTCAGAAAAAAATTTACTCAAGTATGGAGAAGATCGCATACAAAATAATAACTACTAATATGCAGCTGTAATACATTCAAAAGACTTGAATTTCATAAAACGCGATTGACTTTTATTATTATTCTAACTAATCTCAAGAAGTTTTTGTTCATGTAAAATTGTTTTTTTTTTTCGCATTTTTAAAGCTAACAAATGGCTTTAAATTTTTACATAATCCAGCATTACAAAATAAAATAACTTGAAAAGCGATGCCTTAACACGAATTTAGTGGTAACAATTACGCACAATCGTCCGCCCACTTGCTAAGCACCAAACTCAACTTAATCATTACTTACCTACCTACAGTTTTTAGGATGACCATTTGTATGGATTTTTCCGGACTTATACTTCCTTTCCGGGAGGGGATACAAGTTAAGAAAAAGTTCATCATACAGACTCAAGTTCTGACTGAAAGAACGTTCAAGTATGAAAAGTAAAATAATAACAAAAAAAACAGATGCACCTTTCCAAGTTTCGAAGACCTGCTGCTGATGAAAGTTTAAAATCAAAAATCAAAATCAATCTGGGTCTGTGTGCCTACCATGAGTTTACGTTAGGTGTGCTCGCTAGCGACTGCGTAAAAAAATGACATTTAAATGTATGACATATTGTGCAGCGCCCCTAGCGGCTACTTTCAAGAAATAAAATCTTCATATATTTTTTTGACGTATTCGCTAGCGAGCTCACCTAACGTAAACTCATGGTAGGCACACTGATTGCCATCAATGATGATTTCGTATCAATTTGGAAAAGACTCAAGAGAAATCGAAAACCAAATAATTTGTCAGAATCTAACGTGGAGGGTTTGATTCCACAGAACATAGTTTCTATGTTCTGATTTGTCCGAAGTTCCGGACTCTAACTTTGCGTTTTGAGTCAAAACTTTTCAAACATCATGGTAACCCTAACCACAGATTTGCCAGATGAAGCGTTCATCTTTTTGCCATCATTCTGAAACCCATACCCGGAGCTCGCGTGACTTCTCATGTAATAATAATATTATGAGATGTTTCGGAATGTTTATGAGGGAGCCATATAAAATGGCGCGAAATCAACTTTCTACACGTTTAAATAAATTGGCAAATTATGCAGATTACGAACAGATGTGCAGATGATTTGTTTCAGGAACTTTTAACTTGTAATTAGGTAGGCTTTTTCAAGTCCCTGTATAATTTTACCTACCTTTCAGGACACCAATGCCGGGAAAAGCCAGCGCAAAGCGATAATTTGACTCGAAATAAAGTAACAAATACACTGGACCGCAAAGAAAAAGGGTCAGTTAGTAGAAATCTTTAAAATCTTCAAAAGTACCTGTAGGCCAGTAGAATTAAACACAAAAATGGATTAAATCGGAAATAATTCCTACTAAAGATTTTAGTCCTTCAATGGCTTCATTAGTTGCCCATAAAGACTCTCCTAGGTTTTCGACTTCGACGGAGTTGTGCTTAAGTGGTGGGGGCCCCCGAAAGGGGCGCTTTTTCGGTTTTCCAGTTATACCGCGTAAAGGACTTACCCTATCGAAAAGTGGTCTTCTTGACAGTTGAAGGGCATTTAATCCTGCATTAAATAAGACCAAATTCATATGTTTCGGACAAACCGTTCTCGTGCAAATGTTCGGCTAAGTAGAAAATATGTGTATAATTTATGACCCTCTCCACGTCCAATAGCTCGTCACCCGTAGGCTCCCAAGCCTTGTAAAGGGTCGCCTTGACCAGCGTATCCCTGTCAAGGCTCACGAGTTGGATTCGCTTATCCTTGTTCGTCCCAGCCGTTACTTAACTGCGGTTGCTGCACCTCTTCCTGGCACTCTCCTGAACGACTCTGTGTTACCTGATGTGGCTGCCCCTCTTCCTTGTACTCTCCTGTACGATTTCATTGCTTAGCCATATGCCTGGTCTAAGGTTCGTTTGTAGGAATTATTTCCGATTTAAAATCTAATTCTACTGGGCTACTGACCTAGCTTTACGAATTAAAGACTGGATTAATTTTAAGCTCTTCATTTTTGATAAATAAAAATGCGTAGCTTTTCCAGTATATTTTGTTTCATAAAGCTAGATCAGACACTTTTGAAGATAGTCGGCATAGAAGATTTTCTAAACAACCCTTTTCTTTGCGGTCGAGTTACTATTATCTGGTCTAGTGTAGGATCGTCAAATAAATATTCGTGCTCTTCTTTTAGCTTGGCCTAAAAACCATCATCAGAAGACAAAAATGATCCGCCTAGTTAGGCATATATTGTTGTTTTTGCGGCGTGTCATCATCATCTCCAAGGTCGAGGAGTCGAAGACGCAATCTGTGCGTGATCTAACGGTTACTTGGCCCTTTGTCTTAGAGTTATGAAGCCAGAACGTTATTATGTACCTAGTGTTAGTACCGCTTTGCACTGGAGGGAAGTCCAACCTTAACTTCGAACTCCTCCTATGTTCTTCTGATTAATTTCGTAGCGGGTCCAATGACAGATTAACGTTCCTCCGGGACAACTTGACCTTCACGGTTGGGTTTTTATTGGCGGTCAAGCTGTAGATCCTGGCTACACAGGAGTAGCAGCAGTGGGAACGAGAGGTGGGAATATTCCCGTGATAGTGGTAAGAAAAGGCCGAACAGGACCACTACCAAACTTCCCGTGGATGTCGTAAAAGCGACTAAGGCACAAACACGAATATTAGGCCTCCACAACGCGTTTGCTCATCGTGAAGAGTGAAGGCTAAATGACCTAATGAGGCGAATAATCAATTCTATAGCTTTTAAATTGTATTCAAATCA